CTGCCAGTGGAGGTGAAGGACTGCAAGGGAGATGTAGTAGCCAAGTTGAAGGTTGTTTGGAAAGTATCATGGAAGACAAATTGAAAGAAATACATCTACAAACAAAATTGATAACAACACAAAGAATATCCCCCTCCTCCTCCTCCTCCTCCTCCTCCTCCTCCTCCTCCTCCTCCCCCTCCTCCTCTTCCGCCGCCGACGTCGCTGCTGCTCTATCTTCTACTTTTCGTCCTCTCTCCGCTGACTTCACCGGCTGGTTTGGTCTTACCTCCCGCTCTTGAGACTGTTGAGCTCGCTGGAGATTGAGTCAGAGGCATGAAAGAAACATGAAAGATGGTCGAGAGCGAGGAGGAGGAGGAGGAGATGGCAGGTAGAGGAAAAAGGAGGACAGAGAGGAGGAGGAGAGGAGGAGAGGAGGAGAGGAGGAGGAGGTCAGGAGGAGAGGAGGAGGAGGAGGGAGGAAGACGAGAGGATGAGGATAGGAGGAGGAGGGGCACCTTTCAAGAGCAGAAAGTTTTGACAATCTCTGTTTGTTTCGAGCTTCATAAAGAGAAGGAGAAGGCAAATGCCTGCTGTCAATGAAACATGAGCCCACAAAAAAGATTGTTGTACAGATGGTGACAAAACAATGACAATGACGAATGCAATTTTGATGATGATAACAATAATGATTCAGCAACGGTGACGAAAATGATGATGGATTTGATGATCATAAAGTTGATGATAAGATGGATATGATCGTGGTGTTGATACTCCTTGTACCTTGAACTGCTGGTATTTTGCAGCGCATCGCTATCAGAGATGACAGATTCTGTGTCAGGGAAATTGTCCTGCAAATAGGAAGAGGATTCAGAAATAGAAAGTCACATGTGTTTCATCATCATCATTCTCATCATCCTCATCCTCATCCTCATCATCATCCTCATCATCATCATCATCTTCTCCATCTTCAGCAGCATATCCATCATCATCATCATCATCATCAGCAGCAGCAGCAGCAGCAGCAGCAGCATCTACATCATCACCTGCACTGAAGAATCGTCATGCGAGGTTGAAGAGCGAGCAATTCCATCATCCCAATCTGAAATTCAAGTCAAGATTCGAAAGATCTGTGATCAAATCTTCAAATTTTGCATGCTCAATGTCTCCTCAAATCAAAAGTTTCTCAAACTCCATTCACCTCGGACCTTATCCTCGAACATATTGTTCCCTTTCTCCTCCTCCCTCTCTCCTCCTCTCCTTCTCTCTCTCTTCCTCCCCTTCTCTCTCTCTTCCTCCCCTCCTCTCTCTCTTCCTCACATTCTCCCCTCCCCTCCCCTCCCCTCCACTCCCCTGCTCTCCCGTGCTCTCCCCTCCCCTTTCTATCCTCCTCGCTACCCTCCTCCCTCCCTCCCTCCTCTCATCACCTGGGATGTAATTCTTCATCCCTGGAGTCACCAGCCCGGAGGACGAGGACGAGGACGAGGACGGTCGAGTCCTCGCCATCAGCGGGCTCCTCCTCCACCCATCGGCAGGTGAGAACAGGCCCGATCGCTCCTGCTGGGGCCGAGCTGACATCTTGAAGCTCGAGTCTGCAGGGCCCAGCTGAGAAGATGCGCGAAGGGACCGCAAACGCGACTCACCGATCTTCATGTCGGCCGACACGAAAGCGCTGGCGGATGCCAGGGACTTCTCGAGGAAGTCCCCTCCACCTCTCGCGTGCTGCAGTAGAGCTGGGGCGATCTTAAAGCTCTCCTCCTCCGACCCCAGCTGGAAGGGGAAGTGGTCCTCCTCCTCCAGCCTCTCAGCTTCCGCCCTCTTCCCAGCTCCTCGCTCCCTCCCCCTGCTCTCGAGCTCCTCGTCCAGCACGTCCGGGTCGTGCCAGCGCCGCTGCTGCTTCCCATCGTCGAAGAAGATAGGAGGTGACGACCTCCGCTCCTCCTGCTCTCCTCCAGCTGGGGACTTGTCTCCCTGGTGGGGGGTGAGCTGGGGTAGGTCAACCCCGTGGAGGTACTTGAGGTCTCCTGACATGATGAAAGGAATTCCGCTGAGAGGAATAGGTCAGAGCGATGAGAACGAGATCCTGCTCCTGCTCCTGCTCCTGCTCCTGCTCCTGCTCCTGCTCCTGCTCCTGCTCCTGCTCCTGCTCCTGCTCCTGCTCCTGCTCCTCCTGCTCCTCCTCTCCATCATCTTCTCCTCTCCAGTGATCTCACCCGTGCCACTCCTCCTGCTCCGCCTCCTCCTCTGCTTCCTCCCGCGCCTCCTTCAGTGAAGCTTTCCTCTCGCTTCCGCTGCCCTCGCTCGTCGGTTGTGAGCTCAAGTGCTGCTGGAGTGAAGCAAGCTGCTGCTGCTGCTGCTGCACAAGTTCCTGCAGCTCATGTTACGCCCACCGCACCTGCTTCTTCCTCCTCCCGTCCCTCGCTCTCTTCCACCCCCCCCCCAACCTTCTGTCGTCCTCCTTCCCTCCTCCTCTTTTCCACCACCTCCCTGCTCAACCTCCTCCCCTCCTCTACCCGATTCCTGTCCTCTCCTCCCACCTCCTCTTCTCTTCTCTCCTCCTCCCTCTCCTGCACAGTCACCTGCAGTCGCTTCTGCTCTTTCACCAGTTCCTCCTTGAGCTCCAGGATCGCTCCGCCTGCCGCCTGCTCTCCTTCTCCCCCTCCTCTCCTCCCCGACTGAGCTGTCGGCACCTCCTCCATCGACTCCAGGACAGCGACAGGCTGTAGAGCCCTGCAATCGCGACCAGTCACATGCGAGAGGAACAGGAGCAGGAGGAATGTGGAGGAGGAGGAGCAAGTCGGGGATGACAAAGGCAGGGAAGAGGGAGGAGGGAGGAGGGAGGAGGAGGAGGAGGAGGAGGAGTATCACTTTTTCTCTGCCCTCCTTCCGAAAAGAGGCGTTCGCTGCTTGCTCCCTGGATCCTGTTCCTCCCAGGACCTCCTGGATATATCAGTCAGCCTCCTCCTCCCCCTACTTCTGCTCCTGCTCCTGCTCCTGCTCCTGCTCCTGCTCCTGCTCCTGCTCCTGCTCCTGTCTTCATCCTCTCCTCCTCCTCTCCCCCCAATCTCCTGCTCCACCTGCTCTCCTCCACGCCAGAGGGAAAAAATCTATCTCCTCCTCCTTCATCCCCAGCTGGGGTCCTGCTGACAGGCGTCCTTGACAACCCGGCGTTGGCAGCGTTTGCCTCCTTCATCTGCCGCTTCATCTCGTCTCGCCTCGCCTGCATGGTCCTGAGACGAGCAGAGGAGGAGGAGGAGGAGGAGGAGCCGCAGCAGCCGCAGCACCAGCAGCAGAAGCAGAAGCAGAAGGAGGAAGAGATGAGGAGGAAGGCAGGAGGCGAGGGGAAGAGGAGCAGGAGAGTGGAGGAGGAGAGGAAAAGTGGAGTTTTACCTGCGCTGCGAGCTCGGCTCTCTGTCGTTCTATCCTTTCATTGTCTCTCCTCTCCCTCTCCGCCTCCTCTGCTGCCTGCGAGAAACATGTATGAAGAGGAGGAGGAAGAAGGAGAGAATGGTGGAGAGGAAGAGCAGGAGGAGGAGGAGGAGGAGGAGGAGAGAAAGAGGGTGGGAGGGGAGGGAGTAGGTGAGCAGAACACATTATGGGGAGAACAAAGAGGAGGAGCAGAAGGAGCAGGAGCAGAAGAAAAAGAGGAGGAGCAGGAGGAGGAGGGAGGAAGAGCAGGAAAGAGGAAGAGCAGCAGCAGCAGCAGCAGCAGGATTATCCTTTCCTACCTGTTTTTCTTTGAGTCGTTTCTTCTCCTCGATCTGCCTCATCAATTCTGCCTGTAGAGCAACAAAAGTGAGAGAGAGAGAGAGAGAGAGAGAGAGGAGGAGGAGGAGAGAGAGAGGAGGAGGAAGTGAGAGAGAGGAGGAGAAGGAGGAACAGACGATCGGAGGAGAGAGGGGGGAATGTTGAGATGGAGAAAGTGAAGGGGAAGACAAAACAATGAGGATGGATCAGATGCACGGACATGCAGTTTGTGATAAGAGAGGAGAAGGATGAGAAGGAGAGGAGCAGAAGCAGCTGGAGCTGGAGCAAAAAATAGTACGAGCACGAGCACGAGCACGAGCAGTTGCTGCTGGATGGGAGGAATGGGCAAGGAGGAGGGAGGAGGGAGGAGCACACTGGTAGATGTGGAGTTAGCGGGGACC